TGGCCGCAGGGCCCAGGCAGCTGGCCAAGAAGGGCCGGAAATGCTCCAGATACTTCCTCCAATAGCTAAGGAGAGAGGCCCCTCAGAGAGGCCATTTTATAGCAATAGCCAGACTAAACCTTTCACTGTGGAGGGATGGGAAGTAGTGGGGAAGGAAATACTTCAGGGGGGTAAACCAAGAAAGTATACTTGGATGTGAATGGGCTTGCTAAAATCCAGTATAGCTTGAGAGGTTTCCTTCTGCCCAGTCCTGAGTGGATTTCCTGTGAGGAGTTCCTTTGCTGGGATACCAGGCTGTGTTGTTGGCAACAGTGATATGTGGACTTGGACCTGACCTTCAAAAGAAGGTTAAAAATAGTGTTGTCCTATTAAGGCTGGTATTCATCTGTGTGTGTGTTTATGTGTGCACGCACGCGCATGTACTGGTGCACCACACACATTCTTCTTTGAGGCAGAGATCAGTAGTGTTCTTATCTGGTGCTTCTTGAAGCAATGAAGGGGATATATAGGGAGAGAGCAGTGTTCACAATAAATGGGACAGCCTTTCCTCTCATTCGTGGAGTACTAGTCAGGGGCTTATATACTGGGACACAAATTGTGGTGGATTTGGGAGAACGTATAGAAATTGTTTTGACTTTTTGAAACCTGCTCATAATGAGTGTTTCCAAGTGTTCTCCCTCATCTTGTATTCTTGGGCTTCAACCACACAATGGATTGGGAGGGCTCCTAGTTCACTGTCGCTGGTCCCCTGAAATAAGACCCATGATGTCACCCATTAGTGATCCATGAATGAGGCGCAGGATGTTGCCAATTAGATAATAATTAAACCAAACATAGCATTTGGTCTTAGAGTTTGCACAGTGCCTCACTCTTGTTTTGTTTATCCTTTCAGTCCTGAGTGAGGTTCTTGCTGTTATCCCAGTTTATGGATGAGGAAACTTGGCTCCAAGAGGCTGTATGGTTGAGTTAGTAACTGGCAGAGCCTGGACCTCAGCCCAGGCAGTCATCAGAGTAGAGGGAGAACTCTTGCATCCCCCTGTTTTCCACATCCTGCCTCCGTAGGGAGGCTCCAGCAGTAAGCTTGTGGCTTGGTTTCCATGTCTTCAGCAACAGTGCCCACTTTCTTCTTGCATCAGAGGTGGCTCCTTCATCAAGTCGGTGATGCTCCTTTTAGACATCTAGCCCTAAACCAGATATTTGGAGCAGTGAGAACAGATGCACATTATCAGCTGGGCAGGAGAAGGACTGAATGTCCACAAAGAGGGTAGCAACAGGGAGATGAAGGAGGGAGAACAGCTGACTGGAGTTTCATGATACCCACTGGATCCTGCCTTCCCTCATTGGGAAAGCCATATGGAATAAAACCCCTTCAGGCCTGTAAATCCTTGTGTCCAATGTTTCCCTTCTGGGTAGAGAGGCTGGTGCCTCTCCTCATCATACAGAGAGGTTAGGGAGTGAGTGGCCTGCATGCACCTAGATGTCAGAGATACAATGCTGAGTGTTGGCTGAAAGGAGCCATTGAAAGGCTCTTTGACACAACTTTCAGATCCCACTCTGTGGGTGAGTGGTTCCAAACCCATTGAACAAAGTGGGTCTTGGGCCAAAGCTCCTGGTTCCACCTTCCCACATCCCCACCTCAGTATTTGCTGGTCAAAGCAGGTACAGAAAAGGGATGGGAATGGATTCCCTTGGAGTGGAATCCCAGAGCCTTGTACCATTATCCCTGTTCCTTTGATGGGCTGCCCAAGAGAATGCAAGAAAGTAGGGGACTGGACCTCAAACTGATTTTTCACCAACCCAGCCCATCCTAGAGAGGAATAGAGCAAAAGTTCCCAAGAAAAGATCTTGAGAGTGCTCCCAAATTTCCCAATTGTTGCATGAGTAAATGTACACAATGGTCTTGGAACTGTCAAAGGCCCTACAGGGTAATGGTTAAGAGTCTTAGCTACATTTATGATTTCAAATCCTGGCTCTGCTGTTAGACCACCTCATGACCTTGAGCTGGTTACTTAACCTGTCAGTGCTTCAGCTTTCCTTCTGTAAATTGGGGCATTAGTGCCTCTAAATGAACTTGTAGTGATATCAGGTGTCCAGCAGAGGCCTGGCACATCATGAGTGCTCAGTTAACGTGACTGAGGCCCAGAAAAACCCAGCAGTTTGACTTAGGTACTCAGCTCCTTCAGTGCCGCTTTGCTCAAGGCGTTTTTGTTTCCAGCTCTTTGGGGCTATTGCAAACTAGTAGGTTTCCCAAGTCCTAGCTCTGTAGACTTGACAGAGACCCCTGAGTTATTCACACAGCCAATCAAAAAGTTTTTGCACACCTGCTACATAGAGGTCAGAGACTCACAAATGTACTGGGCTGAGGCTCTTGCAGGCCCTATGGGGAGGCAGCCCATATTGTGGGAGGCTGAAGCAGGCCTGGATGAATTCTCAGGAGTGGTTTTTGTAAAGGTAAGGAGGACAGACAGCCTGGAGAAAGGAGGGGAGAGAGGCCCACAGCAGAGGGGGAGTGAGGGACGATGGGAGTATTGACCTTGCTGTTGTGGGCCTGGGGTATTCTGCTTTGAGCGCCTGCCCCCAGGGTCAGAACATTTGTGATCTCTGAGGCACAGGGGCTCCCAGTCATATTGTATTTTTGAGAAGACCCTCATTCTCCACAGAATCCAAGCTCCCTGTATAAGACCAAGGCACTTGTGCCTGTTGGGCCTCCCACAGCGGGCACAGGCGAAGCCTCTGCATGGCCCCAGCCAGCTGGCCCTTTCACCCTGCTGCCTCTCAGGATTACTCAGTCTTCACAGTGTCTGTCACTAAGATGCTGAGTGCATTCCTGACAGCCTCTCTTCAGGAAAGACCCAGGCTGTGTGGCCTCTTAAGAAAGGCTACGTGCCGGGTTAAGCCTTCAATTGTGGTTCTGCATGAAGAAACCATAAACCAAAGGAAAAGCAACCGCTCAGCTTTGGTCTTGGAGCTTTGTGTTGGTGTCTGCCTGAGTTCCTGGACTTGGAGTTTAATGTGGGCCAACAGGCAGGTGGGGAAGCTGCCCTTTCCCTCTGATTTCTACATAGATTTATAAGAATAATGTGTGTATGGGGGTGGGGTCCAAGGAATCTCACATGTCTGTAAGTACTGGGCTCTGCTCTGAATTTGGTCTCTGAATCAGAGGAGTTTTGAAGAATTCTCCAGCACATCTTTATAAAAAAAATCCTTACTAGCCCTAACCCCTCCCCCTGCCCCCGGACCAAAATCTTGGTTTTTCAGGGCCAGGAGCTTAAGCATGACAGCTAGGCTTTGGGGCTAATTGCTAGAAAGACTGTCCTTTTCTAAAAGGTTCCCAGTGGTATTACTAGTGTCAAGGGCTCTGGCTTAACCAGGGAAGGGGAAGGAGAGACCTCTGGACCCAACTGGAGAGGCCTGGGCTGCACCTGTGGAAAGTATCTGCCTTTCTCTTGAGTTGGAGCTGAATCTGTTGTCTTTTGAGTGGTGTTGATTTACCTTGACTGTTACATAAGGACCACTTCCTCCCCTTGGTCCTGGAAAGTTTGGTTTTCTCTCATCCTCTCCAGGGTCACTGGCTCTCCCATTACCCATGTGTGCAAGGACTACCTCAGTGAGGGCTCTGAGGACTGAACTGTGCTGCAGGAGCTCCAGGTGTCTCCTGAGTGGCCTCCACCACATTACCTTCCCAAGGAATAATACATGGAAACCTCACTGGTGTATTCTCTTTGCTTTTCTTTCCCCCACAAAGACTTATAGGCATTTGCCCTCTGTTTAAACTGGAATGGCTTGGGCTTAATTTCTTAGGCCAGTCTCCACTCAGGCTCTGGGAGAGACCTGTGGTGGGGACCATTCTGAGAGTGGTTGTGCAGCGCCACCTCCTGACCACAGAACCCATTGTGTCTCCCCAATGTTGCACAATAGTTGTCTGAACAATTCATCTAAAGAAAAATGAACTTGCAAAAGATATTTTGAAGTCCAATTCTGGTCAATCCTATAATGCCATATCTTTTAAAATGTCTCTGCTTTGCCTTTCTGGGACTGCTTTGCCAAGCCTTATTTCCAAAGCCCAAATTGCCAAAGTAGGGCTAAGCAGCTGCAGTCTAGAAGCAAAGGCCTCACCCTAGGACTAGGGGTTGGGTGCACTTGTCCCATGGGCTTAATCCACCTATGTTTTACTAATAGGGTCCTTATCTCTGAAGGGAGGGAGCATTAAAAAAAAAATGTGTCTGTGGGGCTGGGGTTGTGATTCAGGGGTGGAGTACTTGCTTAGCACATGTGAGGCCCTAGATTCGATCTTCAGCACCACATAAAAAATAAAGGTATTATGTCCAACTACAATTAAAAAATATATATTTTTTAAAAAGTGTCTGTAATGTTGGACAGAGATAAGAGTGTAAACAAAAAAAAATGTACCTTCTTCCTTGGGGCTCTGGCCATTTGTGAGTTTCTACTCTGGAGTTTCTAGTCTGGAGTTTTTATGCAAATTGGACTCAGTTCTGCTGCCGTGTACCCAGCATCTAGGGAAGATGACACTGAACTGAATGCAGCTCCACTAACTCAAAGGGAACTAGGTTACTTCCTTATCTAAGATGGTACTGCTGGGACCTGCTGTTAGCCAGGGAGGATTTATATCTTCGAGAATTAAATTTGAGGGCACCTTCGTGTGTTGTCACCAGAGCAACAGAACATCTAGGCTCTATACCTGGCTTATCTCCCTCCACCTCCACTGCTGCCCATAGAATGAATAACAAATCTTCTGCAGCTCAGGGTCTCCTGTTGTCCAAACTAAACAGGTTTCCTGCCATTTCTGCTTTAAAGAGAAAATGGTAGGAAGAAAAAAATAAAGAAAATGATGAAATAAAAATATGCATGTTCCACTGTTAACTCTATGTGGTTGTTCAGCAGGCATATACTGTGTGCCTTGGTAGGGCATACAGACTGGAAGGGATGCAGGTAAAGACTATGTTGTATAGCTGATGCCTCTGTCATTCTTTCTTCTTTAGGCCTGGTCTCCAAGTCTTCTCCTAAGAAGCCTCGAGGACGTAGCATCTTCAACGCCCTTTTCTGTTGTTTTCGTGCCCAGCATGTTGGCCAGTCAAGCTCCTCAACTGAGCTTGCTGCATACAAGGAGGAAGCCAACACCATTGCCAAGGTAGCTAGATAGGGTGGTGTGATGAAGTAAAGCAGGGTCTGCTAGTGGAGACTCCTGTAGACCACAGCAAGTGGACAAAGTAGCCTTGCCTGAGTTTACAAAGATCTCTGATTCAGAGACTCCCCCTCTTTCCATCTCCTTGCTCTTACTTCCTGTTTGTGTCATGAGCCATCCAGATGCCCCTTTGGTTTCCGAGGGCCCCTGCAAGGTGCTTTGCATATATTGTCTCCTGTGATCCACACAGCAACTCTGGAGAATTCATGGGATTCCTACTTTGAAAATACAGAAACTGAGACCTAGAGGGTATGCAGTGCCAGAAGAGTTTATAGCTAATCAGTGGTAATGCCAGAATTCAAACTCAGATCTCTCTGACTGTAAAGCCCATGTTTGTTGTTTTCTACTATGCAAAGCTGCCTTCCAAGTTTTACCTGATTTGCAGGGAACAAAGGAATTGAAATTCTGCCATGCTCTTTTTTTGGTTACTGTTGTGTTTTTTTAAAATAGTTTAGTGTATTTTAATAACAACTTAGAGGAACGGCACAGAAGACATACAATATTAGAAATGTATTTGCATGTAGGACCACTCACTTAGAAAAGCATAGAAAATGAATGGAATCTTCTTTATGATAAAAATGATACAACATTTAGTTGCCATCAATTAGCATCTTACTTGTTTTAAAATAATCCAAATGCTAGCATTGCCCAGAAAAAAATCTAACAGGTTTATTTATAATTGTTATAATGTTGAGCTACTGAAACTTATTCACTGGAACATTTTGACTTGATTTAATCTTTTACATTCCTATGTTAAAAATTCACACAAATGAAAATGGAAAAACTGCCAATACTTGATTTCTGTTCCCCATTTCTCCACTTGCAATCATATATGTGGGTGCTTTTTGACCCCATTGCGGGTGGGGGTGGGAGATGGGGGTTTCTATTACAGGAAGAAGGTGAAAAAAATACTATTTTTTAAATTTTTTAATAAGAGAGGGGAGAGAGAGAATTTTTTTTAATATTTATTTTTTAGTTATTGGCAGACACTACATCTTTGTTTGTATGTGGTGCTGAGGATCGAACCCGGGCCGCACGCATGCCAGGCGCACGCGCTACCGCTTGAGCCACATCCCCAGCCCCTATTTTATTTTTTTGAGAATGAAATTTCACATCACAGTGGATTCTTAAACACACTCCCCATGTATATAGCATGCTACTTGGATGTCTTTTGGCATAATTGTCACACATTTGGCATGGATAGCACACAGATTGGTGTCTTCAAAAAATCCAACCAGATAAGCCTCACTTGCCTCCTGCAAATTACCAGTAGTTGTACTCTGGAAGCACAGATCTGTTTTGAAGTCTGAGCATTTTATCAGATATAGGAAGGGGAGTTTACAAATCAGAAGTTCAGTGGACTTCTGATAATGTCTAATTTCATGGAATGCCACCTTACCACCCTGTAACAATGAGGTTTCTTTGCCTCTCCTGTAAAGGGTATACTCTTGGGAGTGGCTCTTATAACCAGTTGTTGCCTAGGTGCTTTACTACCAGTCGACTTGTAGGCAGTCGGCTTCATACAAACCATAGTAGATAGGCCTCCTTAACTTACCCGCCCCTTGTCCTTCAGCTGGAGCTCATCGACCTCTAGGTGGTGCTGTCATTAAAGAGTGACGGCTCTGCCATGCTCTTAATAACCCTTTCTGATATGTGTACAATTTGGCAGGGGTCGGGTGGGGTACTGGGGATTGAACTCAAGGGCACTCAATCACTAAGCCACATCCCCACATCCCTAGTTAGACAGGGTCTCACTGAGTTGCTTAGCACCTGCTTTTGCTGAGGCTGGCTTTGAACTCGTGATCCTCCTGCCTCAGCCTCCCAAGCCACTGGATTACAGGCATGCATCTCAGTGACAAGCATTGTATCTACAATTTTGAAGGTGAAGCCAGCCCTGACCAATAAATATTATTCTGCCAGTGGCACCTCTGTGAAACACCAAGGTCTAGCTGTTCTATCTCTCTCTCAAAATCACACTAAAGGGTTGGGGATATAGCTCAGTTGGTAGAGAGCTTGCCTTGCATACACAAGGCCCTGGGTTTGATCCCCGCACCAAAAAAAAAAAAAAATCAAAACCATATTAAAGGACATGTTTATCAGTGAAAAATCATTTCATTATCCAATGGCGAGAAATGGTTACATGAAGTGCAACATGACAGTATTACTAAGCAATTAATTTTTTTTGGAGAGTCTCACAACATGGAAAACTATTGAGTTGCAACATTAAATGAAAAAGTAGGTTGTGAAATTATATAGTATTAATATTATGGAAAAAAGACTGCTAAAACACACTTGAAGAAAACATACTAAAATGCCAATACTTGATTTTTGTAAATGCTGGGATTTTAATTTTTTTCTTCAAGGTTTTCATTAAGAATAGTTATAACAATTTTTACATCATAATGTTTTTATTAAGCAAAAGGTGGGAGGGGGTATCTTTTTGATCTCTGTATTCCACCTCCCTTCACTCACATTTTGGGTACCCATAATTGCTTCACAGTGGCTTATTTGATGTTTTGTGGCACCTGATGTGCCCCCTGTCTCCTCATGGAAGGCATAGAAACTGTTTTCGAAGAGAGGCTGGGTTTAAGGACTAAGCAAGAGGCTAAACAGCCACAGTAGGAGTTCAGGATTTGGTTCTGCCTCTAACTTTATGTCTCTGAATCAGCCATTCAAGTTCCTTGTTTCTTACTTTGTCAGCTGAGAGGCAGTGACAGCCAAGAACAGGGACACTGTCTTCTCTATCCTTTATCAGGTTTAATGTGGAAAGAAAGCTCTGGCCTTGACAAGATCCTTGTAAAAAGGCACTGTTATTATGTGACTGGTTCTTTAGGAGGCAGAAGCAGTGGTTTGGATGTGGGTGAGTTGGCACTGACCACCTTCTTCTCTCCCCTAGTCGGATCTGCTTCAGTGTCTACAGTACCAGTTTTATCAGGTATGTGACTCTGGCCAGGCCTCTGATCCCTGGCTAGTGGTGGGCGGGGCAATGCCCTTATTCCCTATGCTGAGAAACCATTCATTCTAAATATTTGATGAGAGCCCACCATTAAGTTTGGGTGATAGCTGGTGCTACACATCCTCTTCTTGCAGTTTTTAGCCCTAGTTGCCACCTCCAATGTCAAACACTAGGCCCCCTGGGAGGCTAAAACCAAGGACTCAACTCTACCTCCTTTGTTCTCTGCCTTTAAGTGGTGCCTGTCCTGGGTTGGTGATTCCAGTTCCACAAACAGCCCTGCTTTTCCCACAGTTCTGCAACAGGGAACTTTTGGGCTTTGCTGGTGGGTACATCTCAGCATCCTGGCTCTGGTTTTAGATCCCTGGCACCTGCCTGCTCCCAGAGGTGACAGAGGAAGATCAAGGAAGGATCTGTGTGGTCATTGACCTAGATGAAACCCTTGTGCATAGCTCCTTTAAGGTAAGTTGACATCTAAAGCTCTTCCTATACCATCTTGGGCCTGTCCATGAGTCTAACAACAATTGCTGTGAGGCAGCCTAAAGGTGAGGATAGAAGTGAGCAGAAGGGAGAGGCCAGGCCCACTCTGATGTCACAGATATCTAAGGATGTTATTCCCCCTAATCACTGCCAACAGGCTAGATCTGCCCCCAGCCACATAGCACAGATAGCTGCTAGGACTCCACACAGGGGAGACATAAAAGCATGGTTCAATCAGCTCTGGCCTTGCCCCTGTATTTATTATCTGGATATTTGTTAACCCAGGGAAGCCATGTAACTCTCAGCTCAGGTAAAATTTGGCTGAGGAGGGAACTGAGTAGTAGGGAAAACCCAAAGGGGATGTGGCATCCAGTACTGGGGCAGGAACCCTTTGTGGGCTGGCAGTAGTTTCCTGGAGTCTTCCAAGATCTGCTTCTCCCCACCCGTCCCAAGAATATGGTGGGGCTTCCTGTCTCTTTCACCATGCTGATATTATTAATTTTTCTACCTTCCAGCCAATCAATAATGCTGACTTCATAGTGCCTGTAGAGATTGAGGGGACCACTCACCAGGTAAGTTGCCTGCCTGGTCACACCCAACCCAGACAGTAGGGAATCTGCCTTCTGCTCCACCTGAACTGAGGTCCTCTGCCCCACTCAGGGTTTTATTCTATCAATTGATCTCTTTTCTATAATTTTAGCTACTCCTATTTTATTGGTATCTTTGACACTCAAGTCTTTGTCCTCTTAAAAACAAACAAACAAACAACCCTTCAGCCCCTAGCTGTCACCCTTTTTTGTCTTTGTAGCCAGGATATTTGAAAGAACAACTTACATTATTTAGTATAGTAACTATTGTTTATTAATCACCACTTCTCATGTGGCCAACACTTAGGGATTTATTGCATTTGTGTCTATTCCTGAATAGTTGGTGTGTCTGCCTCATAAAGGCAAGGAAACAGTAGTGGTTCTCTGCCTGGAAGGCCCATATCACCATGCCACCTGTGAGGAGCTAGTAAATTTCTTCCTCCCCAATCCAGGCATCTCTTGGAAACCTTGTCTTATTTCCCTCCCCTTGGGTCCCTATACTGGATGCTGCCCAAGTAACTGCTCTGTAGACATTTGTCAAAGAACACATGACTCTAAATAGAACTAGGCTCCAGCCTTGTATAACCTGCTCTATATGGGGTTGAGGATCATGTGAAGTTTGTAGGGAAAGACCTTATGCTTGCTCAGAAGGCCTGCCAGTTGGCCTCACATCAGAGGCCATTGGAACCTGGTAGCCTATATATAGTTGTTTTCATGACCTGGTCAAACAGTAGAGGAGGTTTGAGGCTTCCATAGGTTGTCACATGTCCCACCTCCATTAGAAGGAGGTTTCTGCATCACCCCAACTAAGAGGCTCTTTCAAACCCAGCAACCCTTTACAGTCTAGTTGAGGATATGGAGATAGGCCTTCCTCTTTTCTCCATGGATTTTGCATACTTTGAAACAAGCATATATATATATATACTGTGACCTCCTGATTAATGAGGAGGTCATGAATAATAAAAAAGGGATGAGATTAGGTTGAGTTTGTGGCTCAGTGGTAGAACACTAGCACGTGTGATGCCCTGGGTTTGATCTTCAGTATCACATAAAAAAAATAAATAAATAAATAAAGAGTGGTAAGGAGAGATCAAGCTTGATAAAAAAGCCAGGAAGAGGGAGGGGCTTGCTGTGGAGGTTGAAAAATTGGCAGACTAATGGGAATAAAATTGTGGCTTCTTGAAAGAGAGTGGTTCTTGCAGAGTTAAAAGGAGCCAAATTAGTTGGTGGCCAAATTGGATCAGCTCTAGAAGGGAGTTAGGGTAGGTATGCACTGTTTAAGCTAAGGAGTGGTATGGATAAGAGGACTTTGAGGATTTAGTTCTAGAAGCACCTATGTAGGCTGATAGCAGGAAGCAGTAGGACACAGACTGTAATCAAAGAACCTTTTAGAGCAAAATCTGCAAGATTGGGGCTGGGGTTGTGGCTCGGTGGTAGAGCGCTCGCCTGGCATGCGGGAGGCACTGGGTTCAATCCTCAGCACCACATAAATGTAAAATAAAGATATTGTGTCCACCAAAAACTAAAAAAATAAATATTAAAAAAAAAAAAACCCTGCAAGATCATTAAAGGTGGACACTGGTGTTTGCGATGGCTGGTAGGTGTGAGTTTAAAAGGGGGCAGTAGGGTGCTATAGCATGACACAGTATCTGTGGTGATCAGGGAGAAAAAAGTTCAGAGAAGCCAAGTGAAGGCAGAGGTTTGCCTGATGGGGACCTGGATGGACTGTCCTGCTGGAGCCAACGACAGAAAGCTCCCACAGAGGCTGTGGCTGGATTCAAGTAATCCAGGATAGGCTGTTTCCATCCGTGAGGCCTATTCTTGATTACTTGTTTCTGGAGGCAGCTGATAGTCTACCGCTGGAATCAGAGATGGCTCCTGGGACATGGTGTATGCATTTCTTCCTGAGCTGGGTTAAGGTTGGGACCACTGAACCAGCAGAATACTGATGAGGGAATGATGCTAGCCTGGGCTGGAGCAAAAGGTTCCAGCCCACTGGCCTAAGAAACTGGGATGGGAAGTTGACCTGTTTGCTACTTTCTGTATCCATGGTAAAGGAGACCAACACATGCAGCTTCTGCCTCAGAGGGCATCTCCAACAAGCCCCTCTGCTTCTCCTCAGGTATATGTGCTCAAGAGGCCTTACGTGGATGAGTTCCTGAGACGAATGGGGGAACTCTTTGAATGTGTTCTCTTCACTGCCAGCCTGGCCAAGGTACCTGTGGGCAGAAGGGGAGCAAAGAACAGGAACAGGTGTGGCAGCCAAAGGTGTGGTCCAGCAGCTGCTTCCTGGTCCTTAGGATACCATAGGGGTACCATAACTGCATCTAAATCAAGGCATCCTCTCCTTCCAGTATGCCGACCCTGTGACTGACCTGCTAGACCGGTGTGGGGTGTTCCGGGCCCGCCTGTTCCGGGAGTCCTGTGTGTTCCATCAGGGCTGCTATGTCAAGGACCTCAGCCGCCTGGGGCGGGACCTGAGGAAAACTCTGATCCTGGACAATTCGCCTGCTTCTTACATCTTCCACCCAGAGAATGCAGTGAGTGGTCCAGACAGGCGTACAAAGTAGGGCTTGAGAGAGGGTGTGGGCTGGGGGACCAAAGCCTTCACCAAAGGAGCACACTATCCCAGGTCAACCCAATAGCCTGCAGGGGATCGAGGGTGAGAAAGGGAAGAAGCGGTAGCCAGGAGATTGACATTCCCTTTTTCCTGCCCAGGTGCCTGTGCAGTCCTGGTTTGATGACATGGCAGATACTGAGTTGCTGAACCTGATCCCAATCTTTGAGGAATTGAGTGGAGCAGATGATGTCTACACCAGCCTTGGGCAACTACGGGCCCCTTAGCCTTCCTGCTTCCAAGCAACGGCCATCCCAGTAGGGGACTTTGCTACACTGTGCCTTTCTGATCAGCCTGACAGACTGAGCGGAAGCGGGGGCACCTCACCAAATGGGGCCTGGAAATAGGGAAAATTGATTGGAAAGCTTTAGGGCAGGTTAGGTGCCCAGTGGGCAAATCAGACCAACGATATCCAGAGCTACCTGCTTCCTGAGTTGGGTTTCCAAGATGAGTGTGTGTGAGTGTGGTGAGTGTGAGTGAGTGTATGTATGCAGGTGTGTATTGCGGTGAATTGTGGCCTTGGGAAAATTCAGTGTTTCAGTGGGGGAGAAGCTGAAAGATAAGACTCTTCCCAAGTTAGTTCATCTCTTCTCCTGTCACCATATGAGCCACTGAGCTTTACAGGGATGAAGACTATCACAGGCTCCATTGCCAAACCACGGCCTTCCCTTAGTGTTGTAAGGCCCATGCCAAGGAGAAAGGAAGGGCCAGAGGCTGCCTTTGGATGCCCCAGGCACACTCCTTCCTAAAAACTTTCTCCAACCAGCTGCTGCAGACAAAAAGATGCCATTTCTGGGAAGATGAGAACTTGTTTCCAGAACCAGTATCCCCGCGACCATCAGGTCCTGTGGCCCACCAGCTGCTTCCCTCCAACTGACTGCCTGCCGTGGGCCCTTTCTATCTCCCCAAGGCTCAAGCACTGGGCTTGCCTTCCTCACCACCTAGCCATAGTCTTGATCCTCTGGGGAAGGAGGTCTTCTCGTTGCCCTGGAAGAGGACAGATAACTTATTTCCGTTCTTGACGCCATTTTAAAATTCTCTTTCTAAACATGGAGAGTTGGGCCTGGTTTGTTTCTGGCAAAGCTGCAGTTCTGGGCCTGAGGTGAATGTGGGCAGTGCTGGAGGCGCAGGAAAGATAAACCCCCAAAGCATGAATGTGCATCCCCTTGGCTTTGTAGATCAGCTGAGCTGCTTTCCTAAGTCTGCTCTTCAGGGATTCTCGTTGGTGCTGGCCAAAGCACTTCTATTTCAAAAGCTGGGAAGGACTCTCTAAGCTGTCCCAGCCCCTCCCATTGCTTGGGCAGTGCTCTTTCCTGTTGTCCTCTCTTGGGGCCTGTCTTATGCCAAGCTTTGTCTGTTCCAACCTTCATCTTTCCTAGCTGTCATCTTTCTCTCCTGGGCCTAGAACTCCTGTGTCTCCAGGACTGAGGGGAAAGGGTCGTCTTATCATTTGGTTTGTCATCTTCCTGAACTTTGGGTGTCTCTTGTTTTCAAAGGTTCTTAATCATGAATGCTTTCAAGGTCACAAAATGGAAGTTTCCCCATGGCAGAAAAGGGGAAGTGCTGCTGTAATTGGGAGCACAGGGGGCCCCCCAAAAGGGCCTCACCTCAGCATCACTGCCTTAATCATGGCCTCCCCAGGGGCTGGGTGGGGTTCTCTCCTCTCTTCCCTCCTTCTCCCTGGAGTGGGAATGAGTTTCTTTCCCCATCTCTGTTTTCCCTGGAGGCAGGTGTCATAAATCATTAGTGAATTGCTTCAGGTGCAGGGACACCGCCCACTCAGGACTCATCCTATTTTCCTTTTTAGTTTCCCCACACTGGTTCTACCCTGAGAAACTAACCAATCTGAAGAAAGCCAGGTGGTGGAGTAGCAGCTCAGGGTTCTGAGTGGTAGCTGGCTGGCTAGCTTCTTTTTGCAGTATTCCAGTGCAGCCACTGTCCCTCCTTGTCCCAAGTTTGTGAGGCTTTGTCTTTTAGCATCACAGAATGGAACAGAGCCCCCAAAGCTCATGTGGTCATTTCCCCCAGCAGCATTCCCAGATCCCTGTGGGGTCCTGGCACAACTGAAGGGGAAGAGTGTTCCAGGTGCTAGTAAGGAACGCCATCTTCTGATGGAAAGTAGAAGCTTGGACTCTTAAGGCCAGCTGTGGCTTCAGATCCAGGCCCTGGCCTCAGTGCCTCCTGCCTGGTGTCTGGAGAGGCCTCTTTCCGAAACCCTACCCTGAGGGTTAACCCGTGGCCAGGTCTTCTGCCATTTGACCCAGCCACGCTTTTCTTATTTAAGCAATAAGAGGCTCAAAGCCGATTGAATTTTAAGAAACTTTTCTGCCCTCCTTTGAATCTTCCTGTTTTTCCACATGGAGGAAGAGGCTGTGCCACTCCCCACCCCCTTTTCTCTCAGACTTAGCTGAGTGCTTAGAGCATTACCCATGACCAAAGCCCAGGCTGGCTTGGGGAGAGTGTCCTGCATGAAGCCTTGCTTTATAGAACTTTCTTGCCCACACACAGTTCTTCCACAGAAATGCCATCTCCACTTACCCGTCTTTATTTTCCCAGAAAAGCAACTTGAACAGACCTAAACAGAACATCGGTGTGAACCAGAGCCAGCCTGAAGCCATCATTGCCATCCACTTTCTAGTTTCACAGTGCGTTAAGAGCAAGTGATTGCAATTCCTCAGAGGAATCAGGAAGACTCATTTTTTGAAAGAGGGCAAGATTGGAAGGGAGCCAGTTCATCCCACTATCTGTCGAAACTGGATTTGGGAGTCAGGCCACCGTGCCTGGTGTCAGCACCAACTCAAGCCATGCCAGGAATCTGCCCCCTGCCAGGTTCAGTTCTTTAAGGTGCCTCTTCAGGGACACAGTGTGTCTCTCTGATTGGGCTTCTAAATCAAAAGCCTGATGTTCGTGTCCCTCTTATAGGGGGAGCTTTGGACACAGGACCAGTTTGGTAAAGGGTCAGGTAAGGGTTTTCACTCTGCACATTGTAGAGGGGACACTCTGTAGGCCCATGGGTCCCTTAATAGAGAGGTTGAGTGAATTTGCCTTCAGTTAACTTGGGACCGTCTATTTAGCTCCCTCTCCTGCCTCCCAAAGATTTTTTTTTTTTTTTTTTTTTGTATGTTTAAATGTGTAAACTCACCTCTTAACAGTGGCCCAGAAGCTTCTTTATACTAAAGCATGGGAGTCTGAAGGCAGTCATTCCCTGGGAAATGGATCCCATGCAATTCTGCTTTCCCTTTCTTATTGGGAGGCCTTATTAGTAGGGCAGCCCCACGAATGGCTGTTTATGTAGTTTTCCTGCCAGGCCAAGTGTATGAGAAAGGTAAGCCTATTTTCCCTTCAGATCTTCAGTTGGTTATTTAGCCACTGCGGCCCTTAAGTCACCTTTTTTGTGAAATGGGGACTTACTTTTGTCTTTTTCCTTTTTCTTTTTTAATGCCAGTAAATATCTGCATATTCAACTGTGGGAGAGGTCAAAGGTCTAGCCATCTGCCCCCCTCCTTTAATGTTGTGGGGCCTGTTCCTGGAACAGACCCTTCTCTTTGGCCCATGAGCTTCTTTGCTTGTAATTACCCTAAGTTTGCCACATTCCCCTTTCAAGATGCCATTTGAAGGGGAAGTCTGCTTCCCACTGTGACTGGGCTATGGGATTCTGACTACCTTGCTTCATGATTTGATAAATTTGTTGTATTCAAAAACTTGAAATGTAGGACGCCATTAAGTGTCTGTTTATATTTTTGGAATATTTGTATTACTTACAGTTAATTAATAAAAGCAGGTTTAAAAAACCTACCTGGGAATGGGAGCTGCCTCCTTAACTTGCCATTGTTCATTGGGCACTCAGAGGGCATTACTCTTCTCACAACCCCTTCAATCATGATGAAATGGAACAAGCACTGGGCTCCAGACAAGGTTACGGCAGTAGGATCTTCCTGGGCCCCTCTTTGGCACCAACTCCATTTCCATCCAGGTACTTGACAAACGTGTGCTTGGTGTCCTATCGATTGCTGGGCTCAAACCAGAAACCCTGAGGAAAATGAAGTCTGGATTTTCCTATTGCCCCTCCCACATGCTACCAAACTGGAAGCTTTGAAATTTCCTGGCAACACAGTAGGCACTCAAATACTGATTGGACTGATGAATGACTGATGGAGATTGCAAGGAGTAAAATGTTACTGACCCCTCTCCCAAACTGTCCCTTCCTTTGAGAAATGCCAGAAGCTTCTCAGGCTCTGCCAGCCTGGACTTCCAGGTACATACCAGGCAGCTCCAGCCCCTGCCTCCTGTCATCAGTGTAATGCATTCATATCTACAATATGGCAAATTTCATATCCTCCCTCCCTCTTCCCTGCATTATTGATGGGCTGTGCACTTTAAAAAAATCAATAGATCAGGGCGTGGAGCTGGAGTTAAAAAGAAGCCTTTAAAAGTCTGCTCTTGTTTTTACTGTTTTGAATAGGAACAGATAAAGCTTTCCCTCTGGTTTGAATAAGTCAAGCCCAGGGCTAGGTTGGCTGTGATTGGCCAGGACTAGGAAAATGTGGTTAAGATGCAAACACAAGCAAATATAACCCAGTGTCTCTGCAGCCATTGCTAAGTCCTCCGGACCTGAAGCCTCCTGCATTGGGGTAGCTCTTCAATGCTACTGCTGCTAATTCACCAAAAAACTAGGAATTCACCAGGCAAGGTAAGATCTCTGGCTTATATAAGGGTACTCATTAGTGAAACAATCCTACTAAATGAGGCAGAAAGGAGAAAAATTCCTTTCGCTTTTTCTTCTGGGATAAGAATTTTTAAGTGTTGAATCAGGTGTTTGTGACCAGTTTTACAAACTTCTGTTGAGGTGAACAGGCCTTTTTAAAAGACCACTGAACAAATAGGGCACATTTTCAAAGCAGGGAAAGATGAAGACCGTGTGTTTTGTCTTTTTGAGGAAAGTGGCATGGGGCAAGGCAGAAGTAAACCAGCTTCCTCTACTTGGGGTCCATCCATAAAGGTATCTCTGTGAGATTCAGGACCACTGACTTTTAATCTGGAATTTCAAAACTCGAATCCCATTTCAGAAATCTCTGCAGTCCTCTCAAAGGATAGTGAATTATAAATTAGAATTTGGGAAGGGTGAAAGGGAGGGATCCAGCTTTTTTGGAACTTTGTTGTTGCAGATGAAATTAGATTTTGGGGGGTGTTCCAGTGTAGTGAGAAGTCCCTTTTTGGAGTATATCATCACCTGCATTCAGGGTCTCCAGTTGAGTGAGCACCTTCCCAGTTCTGAAGTCCCTGCTGGGAAATAGGACTGCTTTGGGGATCTGAAACTCAGCTCAAAATAATGCCAGTTAGCTTGGCATTTACCAGGTTGATACGTATCCATCTCCAAGGAATGGATTTGGCCTTGGTCCCTTTCCCCTTGCTGGGTCATGTATTTGCCTTTAATAACTGAAATCCAGGGTCTGAAGAAAGCTCACACAAATATTTCCTGGCAATTCTGAGCAGCAGAGGGTGGGGCAGCATAAGTTATCAAATTAAATCCTCAAACACTGGCTGCTCCGCATCATTGCTCTGCTTTAGTCCTGCTCTAGCAGTACACAAAACAAGTTTGCTCTTAGTTTCTTCTTTTAGTTTTGCTTTGCCAAAGTCTATACTAGATAATGGCACATATTCTCCAAACCTAGCTTCATCCATCAAAGCTGAAGTATCCTTAGACATGTTTTTTGTTGCTGGGACGGGGCATGTAGGGGTTTGTGTGTATGTGTGTGAGTGAGAGAGAGAGAGCTAGAGCCTAGGCAACTGGTCTAATACTGAGCGACACTCCAGCCCTGACATGTTCCTCGTAACAAACACAATATGCCTCCAAATAGCAAAAACCCACATAGTCCTTCCTGGATGATTTTTTTTTTCCTATGTAAATCCACCAATCTCATCCTTTTTCCTTAGAAACTAATCTAACATTCATTAGTTGTCATGCTGTCAGACTGCAATCTCCTTGAGAGCAGCAACTACCCAGGGAGGCACTTAAATTATTTAAAGCCTCTAAGTGACCTTGGACATGTGCAGGTGCTTAATAACACAAGCCATGCCTGGACTTCAGAAAACCTGCGATCCACATGGACACATGGACTACTGTTTACCACTTCCTCCTTTTGCTCAGGCCTCAAGGAACTGAAGACCTCAGGGCTGGGGGTGAAAGAACTCTTCCAGAGTTCTATAAAGGTTGAGTTTTAAAGTAGTTTATTTAAAAAAAAAAAAAAAAGGTAAAAACAGAAAGATGGAATCAAAGAGGTGACTATGAAGAGAACCTTCAAGCAGAGAATCTGGGAAGAGTTAAAGAGTAAAAGAAGAAAACCTTGGGGGAAAAAAATTTTTTTCAAAACCAGGTTTTCTTTCCACAAGCCAGTGAACTTCGATAAATTTAGGAAGGGTTGCTGTATGTCAAAATAGCTAAAAGCACAGATTTTAAAATCGATATGGATCTCATTCTAGTATATATCTTTGGGCAAGTCATTTAACCTCTCTAAACCTCAGCTATACTACAAGATGAAGAAAATATGCTCACCTTCTGAGAATTAAATGAGATAATGTATGCAAAGTGACTCAACATAAGACTTAAAATATTCATCACTCCTTTAGAAAATAATCATAGCTAATACCAGAGCTCTTAACAAAGGAAGTGGCAGGTGGATAGCAGGACTTGTGGGTAGGGACTAGGCCAGCCAGACTCACCACATAATGATGAAATAGTGTGGGGATGCACCACAAGGACCTGGCAGGATAACTGTTCAAGATTGGGATGTGATTTACAAGAAAAACTGGATTGATGCCCAGTTCAAGGGGTATCATCTCTTGCTCTATGATGTTTCAGTCCTGGGAAGACAAGCACCATGTCTCTGAGCAGCGCCTTCAGGGCTGTGGGCAACAACCCTGGGATCATCACCTGGAGAATAGAGGTGAGCAGGGTGGGAGGCACATCCTACTCCTGATTGCTGGGATCTATTAGCCAACTGCCCAGGTCTGCTAGATGACAGCCCTTCAATCCTCCTGATCCTATGGTTTGAGAACAGTGTATATTTTCCCATCCTTGTTCCTTCCCTGATGCTTAAAGCAGATAGGTGGCAGGAGGGAAAAATGTTTTTTAGTTCTGGAAAATGGGACTCCTAACAAAAATTAGCTTGTCCTTTTCCCAGCATTTCCTAGGAGTCTGCACTTCCAATAAATGCTCTGGAAAGATGGGTGGAACTTTCCCAGGAGACTCCTGGTTGCTCCAGTCAGATAAATGGAACATGTCTTCTACAGGGCACTCTAGTTCTACAAAGAGTTGAAGGATGGTGGTGAGGGCACTGCACGGAGGAGGCATTGCTCATCTCTTCTCCCCCTGCGTTTGTACCCCTCTGGGTGACTAAGCTCCAAGCTCTGGCCTGGGTCGCTCTGCCTGCCAGATGTGAGGATAACCCTCCCCAAATCCAGTCAGTTACTACTGCATAAAAGCCAGAGGTGCCAGTCATGGTGGTGCATACCTGTCATCACAGCTACTTGGGAGGCAGAGGCAGGAGAATTACAAATTCAAGGCCAGCCTGAATGACTTACTTAGACCTTGCCTCAAAATAAAATTTTAAGAGGTTGGGGATGTAGGTCAGTGATAGAGTGCTTACTTAACATGTGCAAGGCCCTGGGTTCAATCCTCAGCACCACAAACAAAAATCCAAGAGATGATGCCTCCTTTCACTCTCCTCAATCAGGAAGGAGTGATAGCAAGCCTCTCAGAGTTTGTGAAAGACCCAGACCATTTCCATTGTTTTAAGGCTCCTGGTTTACTTAAAATATAAATTAGTACTAAAATGGAGTTTTAAGAATTATGATATACTTCTTTTTGAGATTTAACAGACACATCTCACATAGAATACAAACATGCCTACAGATTTACCTCACTTGAAGAGACTGAAAATTTACATCAGAGGTTATGTGAATGGCTCTCTGGGGACAAGCAATGCATGCAGTGACAAATCAAGGCCCCAACCCAGATATGGGACTCAGCTTGGAGTTCAGCTCCCCAATGGCACTTCCAACTGCCGTTAGCCTCCTCCTCAACTCCACAAAGTTCCAGCACCCTTTCTATATGGCAGGCCTGCTGGCTTTGGGTGATCAGAGAATGGGACAAGAGTACTGGAGGCATTGGTACAACTGAGAATTTTTGCTTCACAGTCTATATCCAACTCTGCCCTGCAAAGGGCAGCATGTGACTCACAAGGTTCCTCACAGTATGGCGAGATGAGACCAAGCAGGACATGGGGATAACAGGGCCAGGGAAACCAGTACTGGGCCCAACTTCAGATCCAAGGTGATGCAGGTAGAACTCACAGAAGCCAGAGGGGTGACCACATAAATCTTGTGCTGGCCACCTGGCCCTGTAAGGTCATGGAAACACTTCTCATTTCTCCCCTACCACCTGTGTCAAAGGAAAGAGAAAGAGGCTGTGGGTAAGGAAGGAGGAGGGAATGCAGATTATCTATATCCCTTGTCCTTCCAGAAAATGGAGCTGGCACTGGTGCCCCTGAGTGCCCATGGCAACTTCTATGAGGGGGACTGCTACATCATCCTCTCGGTGAGCGCCATACTCCCCATTCCTGTGAACATCTCCCCTGAGAGCCAGTTCCTGGGGTTTGTTGAGAGATCTGCTGGTTAGGGAAGGAAATAGGGTTTCTTGGTATCCATCTTACTTCTTCCTCAGTGCTGTGGGAGCAGGCCTCCAGTTTGAGGCCACTGATAGGCCTGGGTTTAAAATTTTACATCCAAAGGCAGGTATGAAGCCCTCAGTCTAAACCCACAAGCAGCACTTCTCCCTCCAGAGACCCAGGCCTCATACTAAAGTGGTGAGGCAGAAGGCCAGACATAGAAAAAGGCCTAACTCTTCCCATTCTAATGAAGGACAGAACATCCTACATGAACAGCACAAACAGGTCAGCTGTGCATGATCAGAGGTTAGGTGCAGGTCACAAGGAGGACCTGCAAGGTAAGTCTGCAATCTGTGTTAGTCAGCTTTGTGTTGTTGTGACCAAAATACCTGATAAAAACAACTTAGAAAAGAAAAAGTTTATAATGGCTCATAGTCCCAGAGGTTTAGTCCATGGTCACCCAAGTCCATTGCTCCAGGCCCAAGGTGAGGAAGAAACAGGGCAGAAGGGCATGGTGGAGGAGTCTGCTCTATTTGTAGTGGCCAGGAAGCTGCAAGAGGAAGGACCTGCAGGAAAAATGATCTCTGGAAGGATGCCTCCCCCTGAGCAACCCACCTCCTCCAGCCACACCCTACCCAGTCAGTCTATTCAAAGTAGGATGGACTGATTAGGTCACAGCTCTCATAATCCAATCATTTCACCTCTGAACATCTCTGCATTAACACAAGAGTTTTGGGGGAACACATATATATCCAAACCATAATAATCCAACTGAGAAAAGATCCCCAATGGTATCCATTTATTTTGGGAGCAAAAAGTTGTCAGTGTTCCCAAATGTGGGGAGGAATTTGGGCTGTCAAAACTTGAGCCACATGGGGCTGGGGATGTGGCTCAAGCGGTAGCGCACTCGCCTGGCATGAGTGTGGCCCAGGTTCGATCCTCAGCACCACATACAAACAAAGATGTTGTGTCCGCCGA